TGTGGGGATGATGGAGAAGGCACAGCAGTTGGCTAGACTCAGCTCTGGCCCCTACAATCTAAGTCCCTAGTAAGGGACACTCTCACTGCTGACAGCCAGTTTCTCCCATACTTAAAAGCTTCTCTCCAAACTTCAACTAGCTCCTGTCTGACTTGCATCCCTGTCAGCTGTCCTCCACGGACTCTCTTCTCTTGGCTCACTTCACTTTTCCCAAAGTCATTGGCAATGAATATAGAAACATATGAGCTTCCCTAGAAGAGGAGAGGAGCTCACTATGGCCAAGTTCTGTGTGAGTAGGAGGCATTTCATTGCCAAGGCATCCTCTGGCTTCTCCAGTCTACAGTGCTGAGGATGGAAAGGATGCTCAGCCAGGGCCCTGATAAGTAGCTGAAGGTTCACTCCCTGTGTCTAAGTGACAAAAGAGTGATGCTGGTACCCATGGTGTCCAGGCTGAGAGCAGTCGACATACTGGTTCACAGTCCCAAGCCAGAAGGAGATCCCTCAAACTTCTGTGCCCACCTGCCCTCACTCTCAAGCCTGACAGTGGACTTTGTTCTACAAGTGGCCAATGCGGGAAGAAGTGACCCTGTTCTAGCAGAGGGCCCCAGTGCCCCATTAGAGGGGGGATTGTTCATTCTTACCCAGATGAATTCAGAGCCTTGGATATTTTGGAGTAAAGACAAAGCACAACTACTATCAGTAGAAACATGGCTGCCAGGATCCCACCACCAATGATGATCATGATTGTTGTTCGGAGGTCAAAAAGCTTATACATACCTGTGTAGAGAAGTACAGGCAAGCAGTGAATGCGCTATCCCTCTTACACACCTGTATCAGCCTCCACACACTTCCTTCAGTGAGGGAGAAATGAACCTCAAACACAGACACTTACAAACACAGACACTTACACAGACCTGTAAACCAGATGGACTCTTTCTAGAGGGCTCTTACCTGGCCCAAGGTAAGTTAGAAGGGGAATTTTCCATGTGAAAAAGGATTAAAATGTACACTCCAGAGGCATGAAAGCTAAAGGACAGTCTGAAGATAGAAGGATAGGCAGTGGAGGCACAAACAGGCAGAAATTAACAGCCAATAATAAATGGGCCTACCCTGGAACTAACGGTTGCTTCCTGCACACATGCCTGGGCCTCCTGAATTATGCTCACATTCAGAGTCACAACTATCTGGACCATGAGCATGAGCCTCAGAGGTCTTGTACAAGAATGACCACTTCTAAGACAGAACTCCCAACAGTCTGAAAACCTGAAAATCCATGTTGTAAATGCAGTGTGTTATGGGCAGTGTGGGTGGGAAATCAAGTATCAAAAGCTGTCATTTTTCTTTCAAGACAGGAAGCGCCAACATTTCTCATTTGGAATAATCAATTTCTTTAAACTTAACTCACACTCTCAGAGGAAAATCAATCACGGGGTGGGGAGTGGGGAAGGAGATGTTCTGGTCACGGAAACCTATTTGCTGCTTTCTGATTCTTCATTGCTGGATGAAAGCCAACACTTTTAAAAATACAACTAGACAACAATTAGATGAATAAAATAAACCTTAACAATGACAAGCATGGACTGACTCACTAGGGATTACTGGTCAGGGAGGCCCCAGAAACACCCCCAAACCCAAGGTATTGTAATGTTCTTTGTTATCCATCATAATTAGATCTTCTTGCTGAACACACCACACTTTGGTTGCACAACAGAGAAATCAATCTCAAACTGATCAGGAAACTTTCTCCTGATTACTAGCTTTCATAGGGCCAGAATGTATTGTATAGACTCATGGGGTGGGGTGGGGAGAAAGAGAGAGAGAAAGAGACAGAGAGAGAGACAGAGAGAGAGTTATCAGAGGGCTTCCCCAGTGCTGGACCCTGTGTACTACAACACTAACTTGCCAGGTAGTATGTACCCTGGCATTATGTATGAGGCAATAGTGGCATTACTGTTTGGTGTGTGGGGTGGCACTAACCAATTACTTTCTGACTGGATTTGAGGCCTGCTCCACAAGAGGGAATCCATGTCTGGTAATATAATCCTGGACAAAAACCTTGCCTAAGGAGGTCTGGGCTTTAGGAGGGAATCCATATTCTTATTTTGATAAATGGTCATGTCAAACTGCCTTTTCATATTTATATTTATACCCATAGGTCAATGCTGGTCTCCACTTCAGCCAGAGTAGGTTGTTTCTGCAGTGGGCAGTAGCTGATGTCCACACTCATAATAGAGTGCTAAGAATAAGTGACCGTGAGTACTAAGGCATAGATGGGACATATGCTATCAACTTTTGATTCCCCCAACACTAAGGCTCAGGAAACATTGTGGAAAGGGGACAGAAGGAATATAGGAGTCAGAGGATGTGGCATGAAGAATGCTATGTACTGCTGTCTTGTGGCCATGGTTTTGTAGCAGCCGTGATAACCTACACAAGATCAAGCCAGTTAAAATGTCAGCATATACAGGGTAGGGCCTCCTGAGACCCCACACCTAGACAGCAGCTATTAGGAGTTTCTGGGAAAAGAAGACTCAATTTTCTTTGGGATATGGCCACTACGAGCTTGCCCATGGTGGCTGGCCCCACACCTATGTGCACATAGGTAGCACTTATT